ATCACATTGACAGATTTAGCTTTTGATTCATTCATATTTGTCACCATATCGATTCAGAAAAACTGAGATATGAGTTCTTTACCCAAGATCCAAATACGGCAGCATAATTTTTTTATTTAGAAAACGTGTCACTCTGCAAGTAAAAAATCACTCCAAATTATCTCAAATGGAACTTTTCAAAATTAGAAATTATTGAAGCATGAAAGCTTGTTTATAAAACAATCACTAATTGCATAAGCTCGACTCAAATAAAATCTCCTAGAAAATACCTATTTGAATACAATTTGAGGGATTTTCTACTTCTGTGCAGAATATCATGTTCTAATCATCAAAGAATAGTACCTTTTATGGTGTAACCAACATTTATGTTTTATCTATGATATGAGTAATTCTGTTTTATATAACTACTATTTGAGAATGCTACTGTTTCATATTTACACAACTATACTGCTACAAATAAAACTTGATGAATACTATTTTCTTCAAACCACAAAAAATTACTATTGGTTTTAGACAAATATTACTATTGGCTGAAAAATTGGATCATGAAATGATTTGACAAAAATGATTTACAGTGTTCTCACTCGTTTCTCCAGTTCTGTTTCTCTTTCTACATTTTAATCTTTTTTACCACCATGAACCACTTCATCATTACCTTCAACTTCTTAATTAGGATCAACAGAGGTGGGAAGATCAAAGTTCTCCAATATTCTCATAGCTCTCAGGTTTTTTCTAACATCGCTGGATCTGATGTGCCATATTCTGATATTATATCATTTATCAGCTGTATGAAAGGATATATGTGTGAGGAATTATAAGCTATGAGAAAAAAGTATAGAAACAGATAGTTCACAGAACAATATATGAACACATTTATCAAAATAAGCTATGAGAAAAAATTTGGCAACCATTGTCCATTGGTGCCCTGAAATACATTTATCAGTGATAACACATTTGAAAGATCATAACTTCGTTAAATGCTAAAAAGGATATAGGTGAATGTTTGCTTATAGAGATGACACTCTACCTTAAAATGCTTTAAAATCATTGATACTATTCAGAGGAAGTGTGAAATGTTCTTCACAAACACGATGGAGAGAAAGTATGAAATGTTGAAAGTAAACTTCTAAAATCTTCTGTTTATTAAACTTACTTTAATTTAAAGTTAAAAGAAACAAACCTTCTTTTTCTTGGAAATGAGCCATCATTAAATAACTTTGAAACCTTTTAGTTTGAAGTTGTGGATGGCCACAGACAAATCTTAATGAATAGAGCATCTAAACAATTGTATGAACAAAAAACAACACAACATTCAATTGTGAAGAAGTTCATCCTTGAGTGTAATTGTTTATCTTTTGTGCAAGAATTTGAATGCAGGGAACACTTGTCCAGATGGTAGAATAAATTTTATAGGTGGCCATTGGAATTAAAAAAGTTAAGGTTTAGAATGTACTCGTAGTATTTAATGCAGATCATCTAGAATATATATGAGATGTATTTGTTCATCTCAAATGGAGCTACTCCCTGGACATGAAAAGCCGGCCAACTTTGTTGAGAACATGAAAAGACTCCGGAACAACTTCCAACCGGCAATGGTATTCTTTCTAGATAAGACAATCAATTATTGTAATTGCCCACCGAAATCAATTGTTTTTCAATTATGCGGCCCATTTATTGTTTCTATAACAATTGGCCGACCATTCAAACAGTTACTATAGAATTTTAAATTTTGAATTCCAGCTGTCCATCCAATGTCCTGCCCAAATTCCCTCCCAAACTCTTTTGTTATTATATATCTATAGATTCCCGAGGTCATTCTCTCAACTTTCTAAAGTTACTCACCATTCCCATTGGTGGCTCCAGCTATTCCCCAAGCATTAGTTTTAAACGAGGGAAATTCTATGGTGCATGTACGAATTTAAAGTAAGTGAAGTAACAGATTTCATGGTTGCGACATGGTTGCCGTACATTGCATGGCCTACACCTAAAATTTAAAGGTGTAAAATATGAAAGGTACACCATGTCACCATTTAACCAATTAACCATATAACGTTGTGAATTATTTATTTATTGAGTTATGCTTTTTCTACCCTATTTTGGGGTATCATATACCATTTGTACCTCACCTTTTGTGTGGTTCAAATGAGGTCAACATTTAAATGAGTTGCTCCACTCAAATGAATTGCTCTATTTGAACCACAGATTAGAGGATGTACAATTGGGGTACCCCATTTTGGGGTATTTTCTAATTTATTTATTTATTTTGCAAACAACCGTTGTGAATTATTGGGAAGTGACATATGTGTGTGTTTATTTATGTGTTTGTATATATGTACGTACATGCGTGTATATGCATATTGACATATATATAGTATACGTACTAATATACTTCGTATAATAGTGTGTGAGGGCATTGAGTATGTGTCCAATGAAGTTAGATATTTTGAATTTGAGTGCATGTCTTATAGAAAATCTGGATAAATAAAGATTATGATTGAGACGTTAATTAATTTGGAAATTATTCAAGATTTTCTTATATGGAAGTGTCATGACAATAATCAACCATAAAAAATCATAAATTTGAGTAGCAGGAATGAAGCTCTTAGGGCATCCACATCCAAGAGCTTTTTGGGGATTATCTTAATGATGTGGAAGATTTTTTTGAGATTATGATTGAAGAGATTATATTGAAAGATTATTTAGATAAAAAATCTGGTATCAAATATTGAATCCTAGATTATTCAAGATTATTCTCAAGTTTCAATAAACACATTTAATCTTACGGAATGAAGAAAGCAATACTACAGTACGTATATGGTGCATCTGAGTGTATGTACACCCGGCCCAAATAAGAAAGACAGCCCAACAATCAATACAAGCCAAAAAAATTCGGTGTCATTTTTGTAATATAAGTGAAAAATTACGGTTTCCGCTAAATGAGCAATAGTGTACATTTAGTGAGCATCTCACATATTTTATTGAGTATTTAGAGGCTAACAATGAGTATCATGATTTGTGCTTCATATCTTCTAATTCATTTTTTTTCCTTATTTTTTGTTTTATAAAAACTAATTGAATTATATCTATAATACACTTCTATGAATTTCCATATGCGAATTTAATGCGATATGATACTTTTAAAATATGCATTAATATAACATTTTAAAATGAGCATAACATCAGTACCAAATGAGTATACGTAACTTATAAAATGTTTATTGATTTGATAATCGTAAGATTTGTTAGTTTAACATAATGATATGTTCATTGAGCACCAAACCTCATTTATTGAGATGAAAATCAAGTTTTCTGTTAAATGAGCATACCATTACCACCAAATGAGCATACATAACTTACGAAATGAGTATAAAAAATTTTAAAAACGCATTTTTGTGTGCTCATTCATTTTGGACGTTATACTCATTTTAATTTAACATAAAACTCATTTTAGCATCAGGTGTGGTCTACAGTGGCGGACGAACTTCATCCGACGGCGCACCAGACACTGAAGCTCGAATCCGCCGCCTTAGGTTCAGAATCAATAGCCTCCATCCGAAGGTTGTGCAGCGGCGATTGCAGACAGATTGTGAACTTCATCCGACGGCGCACCAGACACTGAAGCTCGAATCCGCCGCCTTAGGTTCGGAATCAACAACCTCCATCCGAAGGCTGTGCAGCGGCGATTGCAGACAGATGGCGATGGTGTTGTTGTTTCATGCGTGGAAGGCCATGGTGGGCGGAGAAGAGAGATGTGCGCAGATCCTCATCCATCGATTCCCAAGACATCAGCGATCGCCGAACAGTCTTCTCCATCCCTAATCTTTATCACCAGATTTGTAATTAATTGCAAAAATACCTGGATGTACGGTGAGGACCGTACATCCGGGTGTACGATATAATTTGCGGCAATACTATCACAAATGCCACGTCAGATTAACTACTTTGTAACTAATTAGTTAGCTGGTTATGATGAATAGCTTAGTTAGTTTGAATGATAGTTGCGTGGTATTCATTCTACTGCTTTGTATATAAACATGTGAACTACGAAATAATATTCAGAGCTTCTTCTTCATTCCTTTTTCTTTTTCATCAAGATATCTTTTGTAAGATTTAATGCACCATATCTTTTAATTTGGAATGACTAAACCACCGTGGAAAAATGAACGCCTAGTAAACGCATATGGTAATATGGAGATGGAGGAAGAAGATGAGTTTCTTTTTGTGGAGGCTAAAGAATCAGGGAGCGAGAAGGTAGGGTTAACTTTGGTTGAGACAATTATCTCTGAAAAATCGGTACGTTTCTCATTCTTTCGCGACGGAGGAAGCTGCAGGGATGGAATCACGCAAACTCCATCACCTAGAAATTTACTTTTGTTTTTACTCGTTTCTTTGTCAAGACTCAGTCTACTGTTGTTTTTTATTTTTGTTTACAATAAGGGTGCTGGTTTGGTGGGTAGGCTATTTATGATTAGGTTTTTTATGGAAGGAGGCATTGTGGCTAACTCAACCATTAATAGCTTCTTTGCTCTCACCGTTTCAACGATTAGTCCCGCTCTATATAGGGTGGACTATTCTATGTCTGGACATGACGTGAGGGAGCCGATGGGCTTTTGGGTTAGTTGGTCAAATGGGAAAGTTAAGGTTTGGGTCTTGAATAATGTAGTTGTTATTTTGAATCTAATATACGCTATTTCCTCACAAAAAAATAATTTTGATTTTGTTTATATAATAATGATATGACAAGATAAGACACGAAAAACGGAATATTTGAGAGATGCATTTATTGTGTTGTCTCACCGGTGAGCGTAGCTCAACTGGTAGCAAGGGAGTGCCACAAGGGTTAGGTGTCGGGTTCGAATCCCGACAATTACGATGAGGGGTTACTATGCTAAAAATGCATAGGGTCTCTGCAAGTACCGGGGATAGAGTCTCCCTTAGGGATGGGGGTGTCATCTTTTTTTTATTTTGTTGTCTCTACTTTTATCGGAAATCGGAAAGACATACATTCATTTATGCTTTTTCTCTGTTTTCATCCTCTTTAGGCCATTGAGAAACGATGTTTTAAAATAGTACAATTGGGGTTTTAAAAGAAAGGTTATTGATCGAATTGGGCAGTGAAGTACAACGGGTGCCTAGAGTTGCGAGTGTTCATATGGAGGCAGATGGTTTGTTTAACCCAGATGACGACCTGGATCTAGATGTAAATGCGATATACGCGGATCTGATCCAACGAGCAACGAAAGGAACAAGAGTATTGTCCATGAAAGCCCCTGCCTTATCTACTGAGTTTGTTCGATCTTCCACCCGTGCAAAGGCGCAAGCAAGTCAGGATGGTGCATTGATTGCTATCGAATTTCCCTCACGGAATGAAGTCCGACGACGACAGAAGCTAAAACATGGTGATAAGAAGATATTTGGATATGCCCCGTGTGAGGAGGCTGACTCATTTCCATCGGGTTATGGAGAGAGGTCTGCGCAGTCGATGCAACGTGAGGATTCTGTATATCAACTCAAGAGTGCATTTACGTCTGCTGCAATAGCGATGAGTAAGCTTCGTGCTCGAGTAAATGCGAGAGGCGGTGACGCAACAGCTATATCGAAGATATTTGCACTAATGTGGGGCATCAGTGAGGATGAAGCAGGTATGATTCCGAATCTCGAAGTTACGGGAAAGGAGTCTACGCATCTGGCAGCACTAGAAGATTGTGCTTTCCACTCGCTATCTGGACACCCTGCTTATAGTGGTGGATATAGGGTAGATATTGCTTCAATTACCTCAGAAGAGCTTGGCGAAAATGTTCCTGTTAATTGGGCTCGAATACGGACCCGTGCTAAAGCTATAGCGCAAGTTCAGGTCCAAGGGGATTTGGAATTCCGTGCTATGAAATCCGCCTTACCTGATAATGAATCTGTTCCTCTCTTACTAGAGATCACACTACAGTCACAGCCAATATATCGGAGAACATATCCATGGGAGGGTGCTATGTTGCGTGCTATGAGAAGAGGAGAATATAATGAGGAGACAAGGGAGGAGGAGAAGTCTGACATTGATGTGGGTTGTACCATGATGCAGACATACTCGGAAGCAAAGGATTTACAGCTGGCTCTGCATACCAGTGCAAACTTCACTGGCTCATGGAAACGCATTGCGAGTATAGTTCGTGACATGTCCCGACGAACCCTTACCAAGACTGTTAAGTTGATTGAGATGCATCAAATTGGACGTGCGTTATTGGCAGACGAAGAAGATGAAGATGCAGAAGAGCTTGAGATAGCAGATATGGGAAAGTCATTTGAGGTTCCTCCATTTAAGATTACTAGGGATAGATTGACAACTGTTATGTCACGGAACAAAGTTGGCTCTGATGCGCTTCCTGATATTAAGTCGCAAGGAAGGGGAACTTCACATTTCAGCCTTGCTCAGGTATGTTCTGCTGGTCTTGATCGCGAAATGACGATTGCGAGTGCTTTGAACTTGGCCGTATTCGTATCGACACTCCGTCATATTAATCTGACATCTGCCTGTATGTTGATGGGCTTAGTGAAAGACCCTAATCCTAGCGCTGGTGGGAAAGTATCATCACGATTGAGGTCGCCAAAGCTCTACAATTATGATGCAATCTGGGAACTAGGTAAGTACCTCTTCGATGATTCATTTATAGTTACCCTACAGATTATCATAAGAAATCTTGATCAAATAGGAGTCAAAATATGGAATTGATTTTCTTGCTTTCTATTGCTACGTACAGCCTATTATATACAAGGCAAAACCTGCCCTAGGTTTAATAGGTCACAGCCCATTAAATACAAAATAATTACTAGAGCTAATTACAATAATTAATCAAGGCCCATTCTTGCCCCAACACCCCCTCAAGTTGGTGCATGCGGATTATAAATGCCCAACTTGCGAAGAAGATAAAGAAATTGTCGCTTTCCCAGAGCTTTAGTAAAGATATCAGCCAGTTGATTAGTAGTTGAGACATGTTGGGTAGTAATCAATCCCTCTTGGATGCCGTCTCGGACGTAGTGACAATCGACTTCTATGTGTTTCGTACGCTCATGAAATACAGGGTTGTGAGCAATATGGAGTGCCGACTTACTGTCACAGAATAAAGGCATAGCTTGAGGATGGGCTACACCAAGACTTAGAAGAAGACTTTTAAGCCATTTTAATTCCGCCGTAAGGGCTGCCATGGAGCGATATTCTGCCTCGGCAGATGATCGGGACACAGTTTGTTGTTTCTTGGTTTTCCAAGAAATAGGAGAGGTACCAAGAAACACTAACCATCCAGTGAGAGAGCGTCGAGAAAGTGGACAGCTTGCACAGTCTGAATCACACCATCCTGTCAAGGTTAAATTACACGTGGAATGCAAGAGAATTCCGTGACCCGAGCTGCCCTTCAAGTAACGGACAACCCGCAGTGCGGCATCCCAGTGTTGGTGACGTGGAGCTTGCATAAACTGAGAGAGGATATGCACTACGTAGGCCAAGTCGGGACGTGTGAAAGAGAGATAAATTAGGCGGCCCACAAGACGTCTATAGGACTCGGGATCAGCTAATAGCGGACCGTCAGCCAAAGCCAACACATGATTCTGCTCGATGGGAAAACTGGTAGGTTTGGAACCTAGTAGCCCAGTCTCAGAGATAATATCCAAAGCATATTTGCGTTGGCACAGAAAAATACCCTCCGAGCTGCGCGCCACTTCGATCCCAAGAAAATATTTGAGAATGCCCAAATCCTTCATATGGAAACATGTGCTCAAGTATTGTTTAAAAGCAGTCAAGGCCGCGGAATTATTTCCAGCAATAATCAGGTCGTCCACATAAATGAGCACGTTTAGAATTGTATCACCACGGCGAAACGTGAATAAAGAGTAGTCCGAATAAGATTGCCGAAAACCATAGTGACGTAGAGAAGCGGTTAGCTTGGCAAACCAACAACGAGGAGCCTGTCGCAACCCATACAAGGATTTCTTCAACCGACAGACCACACCGGGTTGAGCGGGATAAAAATCAGGAGGAGGCTTCATGTAAACTTCCTCATCCAAGTCACCGTGAAGGAATGCATTGTGAACGTCCATCTGATGGAGTTCCCAGTTTTTAGCTGCTGCAACTGCCAAGAATGCCCTAACCGTAACCATTTTAGCCACGGGAGCAAATGTCTCAGTGTAGTCAATGCCCTCCTCCTGATGATTACCAAACACCACCAACCGTGCCTTGAGACGTTCAACTGTACCATCGGAATGATACTTAATTTTATAGACCCATTTACATCCAAGAGCCTTCTTGTTGGGAGGTAAAGGTGCCAGGACCCAGGTTTCATTATTTTCAAGAGCACGGATTTCACTTTGCATGGCTTTCCGCCATCCTTCGTCAGTCATGGCTTCCTTAAAAGATCTAGGTTCAAGACCTGCAAGAATGGCTCCAAGAAATGCCCAATGACGAGAAGAAAAATTATCACAATTCACATAGTGAGCTATAGGATAAGACATACCTGAGTGTCCTGTGGAGACAGAAAGAGGCGGGGATGGGCTCTCAGTCCGAACGTGTGTAACAAAGTCACGAAGTAATACGGATGTGCGTTTAGCCCTCTGCCCGCGACCAAGTAGTGCATCAGTAGCCTGAGTAAGAGGTATATGGCTCTCGTTATTCTCCGGAGGAGTTGGGACCGGTGGTATAGAAGCATCATGAGAAGGCATGGCAGAAGTGTCCTCGTGACCAGGGACAGAAGCATCATCGTCAAGAATAGGAGGAGCATCACCATGCACCTCGGCTGAAGGTATCACCGCAACGGTTTCAGGAGAAAAAGGAAATTCTTGCTCGTGGAACTTCACATCTCGTGAAACAAATATATTCCCAGTATCCATATCATAAACTTTCCATCCTTTTTGCCCGTGTGGATAACCAACAAAGGCACACCGTACACTACGTGGAGCAAATTTGTCACCCTTGGATTTCTTGTTGTGAGCAAAGCACAAACACCCGAACACCCTTATATGACTGAAATCAGGAACACGTCCAATGAGAACTTCATATGGGGTTTTTCCACCTACACCGGAAGGAGTGCGGTTAATTAAATAGACCGCAGTTAAAGCACATTCGCCCCAAAGGTATATTGGAATATTAGCTTGAAACATCAATGCACGAGCAACATTTAAGATATGTCGGTGTTTACGTTCAACACGTCCATTTTGTTGAGGTGTCTCAACATAAGAACTCTGAAATAAAATGCCATGCTCAGTAAGATAAGGATGCATGCATTTAAATTCAGTCCCATTGTCACTACGAACGATTTTCACAGCAGCTGCAAATTGCGTTTCAATCATAGCAAAAAATGAGAGAAAAGATTTGTACACTTCCTTCTTGTCACGCAGTAGATAAACCCACACGACCCTAGAGTAGTCATCCACAATAGTTAAGAAATAAATGGCATCACAAGTGGAAGGGGTTTTGTAAGGCCCCCATAAATCACAATGAATTAATTCCAAAATGTGACTTGCTTTATTATCGCTGACAGGAAAAGAATCACGAACTTGTTTTGCTTGCGGACAGACCACACAAGCTTTATTAAGAGATTTTCTAAAACCACTAGAACTAACTGCAGGTAATAATTTTAGAACCCGGTCTGATGGATGTCCTAGCCGGCGATGCCACAACTCAAAGTCCGCCAAACTAGATACTCTCACAGCATGCATTGCAGGAACACGTCGGAAATAGAACAGCCCATCCCGTCTCTCACCGGCTCCAATCAGGTTCCTCGAGGGTAGGTCCTGTATAGCACACAAAGAATTAGTGAAAGTAACAATGCATGTAGAGTGATCAGTTAATTGAGAAACTGAAATGAGATGACAGTTTAATCTCGGAACATAAAGAACATGATTAAGTATAAGTTCGGTGGAGAGGTGCACACGGCCTTCCATCGTAGCAAAAACAGTTCGTCCATCGGGTAGTCCCACCACACAATTAGGAATACTGGTAATATCGGTGAGACGACTCAGATCACCTGTTACATGACGGGATGCACCAGTATCGATTATCCAGTCAAGAGAACCACACTTACCAGACATGCGATCAGTGGAGCGTGTTTCAGCACTAATCATGTGTAAGAGTGTCTGAACCTGTTCCCTACTCAGTTCTTGCAGCGGGTTGTAATCATTATTGGCAATAGAGGACTCCGGTACAGCTGCGTGTGAAGAAGCCAGTGAGGTCACAGCATGTGCACGTGCTTCCCCACCAAGACCACGAGATGCAGCGGTGGGCAGACTGCTCCCAACTGCCGGGCTTCGTCCCCCTGCATTATTCTTACTCCGATTGCGCTCCTCCCACCAGTCCGGGTACCCGTATAGTTTAAAACAAGAGCTCACGTCGTGACCCTTTTGCTTGCAGTGTGAACACAAGAGTCTCCCCTTGTCAATTTTTCCTTTGGAGCGGTCTGTCTGCAGAGCAAAAGCTTGCACATCGATGGCGTGATTCTTCCCCCGGGCGATTGCTCGTGAGCGTTCCTCTTGAAGAAATGCCTGATGTGCTCTAGTAATATCGGGCAGCGGTGTTTGTGACAAGAGATTGGAGCGGACCGTTGCATAAAGTTCATCATCAATGCCAATCAAGAATTGATGCAGTTGCTCCTCATTCCGATCAGCGGCGTCTTTGTCTGCCACGCCACACGTGCAGTTTCCGCACGTACACGTATGCAGCGGTTTCAGACGACTTAATTCATCGTATAACCCCATGAGAGCAGTAAAATAGGTATCAACAGACATTGATTTTGTCTGTTTACATTCAGTAATTGAGGCGCGCAGCTGCTGTAGACGTGGCCCATTGGCTTCGCTGAAGCGCTTCTCCATGTATTGCCATAGTGACCGAGCTTCCTCGTGGAAGGGAATTGAAGCCGCAACAGTCGGCTCCATGCTTCTTAGCATCCAAGACACTATCATCGAATTGACCGTGTCCCAATCAAGCAATTTAGATGCTGCAACAGGTTTCCGGATGCTGCCGTCCACAAACCCATACTTCCGGCGGGCTTTCAACGATAAGCTAAACGCCCTCGACCACGCCAGGTAGTTATCGCCTTTGAGAATTACGTGAGTAATCAAGTTACCAGGCTGATCTCCAGAGCTCAAATAGAAAGGTGAGGCTGGATCCAACCTTGGAGCTGTTTCGTCCCCCATGATGCGCAGAGTTTAGGCACGCGGGTGCTGCTGCGATTGGAAGGAGCGTGATGGCCCTCAGCGAAGATCTTCGCACGGCTCTGATACCATGATCAAATAGGAGTCAAAATATGGAATTGATTTTCTTTCTTTCTATTGCTACGTACAGCCTATTATATACAAGGCAAAACCTGCCCTATGTTTAATAGGTCACAGCCCATTAAATACAAAATAATTACTAGAGCTAATTACAATAATTAATCAAGGCCCATTCTTGCCCCAACAAATCTGGTACCGCAGAGTGGGAAGTCAGAAGCTAGTATGGTCTATGCCATATGGTGTTATCTAAGTAGTAGGTGTGGGGAAAAGCGAAAATGTCCTGTTGATGGTGCACTTCCAGAGCTCATTGAACACTTACGGAAGGCTCCCGAGGGATGGATTCTGTATTACTGGGCACACATATCAATAGGTAAATGGCACTATGCAGCACAGAATGGAATACTTGCCCCAATTGCTGCTGGGGAAGAGGCTGATTTAATTTCAGCTTTGAAGAAAGGTGTAAGGAAGAGGGCAGATCATTGGGCCGCATTCTATTCAGCGAAGTACAAAGACCTATACAAGGAATTCAAAGATAGTAAACCCAATTCTGACATAGATGAGGAAATAGAGAAGAGACTTGCAAATGAAGAGAATCTGCAGGTAGCAAAGCATGTGCCCCCACATTTACGACGCATGCAGCATCCGGAGGCTATTTTTGAGGAATATGATGACCTATCTTCAGTAAGAGGTACGTCTAAGGTGGCATTCGAACGACTGGCTGTGGCTCAAGTGAGGCATAAGCTCTTTAAGGGAATTGAGGTGAAATCATATGACCGCATTGTTACAGTCAGAGTTACAAATGATGCTATGCGAGAACTGATAATTGACTCCTACCAAGCTCGGTGGATAAGCTTAGATCGGTGCATCCGTAACGCAAAAAGCCGAGGAAAAGTCTTCAAATTGGGTGGAGTACCCATCAAAGAGCACCCTTGGGGAGAGTTGAGGACTGAATTTCCCGATACACTGGAAGGCGTCAGGGAGATGGCACGCCAACTACATCATATTGGATGGACTGTGGATCCGGATAAAATGTGGGAGAAACTTGAAAAGTCGATTTCTGAGTTATGGGAGGATTTGACGAAGGAGCTGAATACTGCATTATCATTCATTGAAGAGTCTGGAATGGATTCATTAGATGAACATGCGTATGCTAACATCAGCAAGCGGAGTGAGGAAGCGGTGAATCACATGTGATTGACACCGGTGTTCAACCTCCCGGCATTTGGGTATACTCCGCCTTATATACTACCCAAGATGACAGTTGTCGAGCGAGCGCGTGGCCATGTACTGCAGGAGTATAAGGCAGTAGATACTACTGGGGCTGCTGTGCAACCACAGGATGGAGAAGGCAAATTTTGTTGGGATGAGATTGAAGATGAGACAGTCTCTCTTCCTGAACAGATTTGAGCAAATTTTGTTGCATACTTGCATAAGTCATGTATTACAAAAACAATCTGTGACACTTCGTTCCACATTCATCTGCCGATGTTGAAGTGCATCTATAATTGACATTGACTTTGAGTTGAAACTTGCATTTCCGACCGTTAGCCCACCCTCTCCAAGACCACAAATATATCCAATTCCTCCACTCTCACTAAGTTTGGCATTATTAGCTAAAAGTATACTCCCTCTATTCCCATTCCCATTTTGTTTTATGAATGTTTCGGTTAAAGGTTCTCATTTCTCAACCTCTTTCGTGAGCAAAATTAACAATTTCGAAATTACTTTTCTTATTATTATGATTGACTATGCAAGTAAATTTATCAAAATATCTAAATTATACAAAAATGAGAATAATTTTTCTTTTATTTATTAATTATATCCATTCATAGAAGATATTTTGCGTATGATTAGTTATAACACTGGGTGGGATTTGACACATTTTTAAATCACAACGGGCTAATGTGCTCAATTTCTATATCACAGGGGTTTTGGTTCATTAAACCTGAAATCATTAACACTCTTAAATGATAATTTAATTATTAAATATTAAAAATAATGCATCTATAACATCACATTTATATAATCAATTACTCCATTATATTATACTTCGTATAACCATCAAACAATTTCTCAAAATATATTAATATTATCTTATTTAATTATTACATAAATAATTTGAATTTTTATCTCCATATGACGTAACACTTTCTTTGAATTTTTAGAGGAAACTCTTCCTGGTTAAGTGGTTATTGTATGTTTTTCGATGAGCACAAACTAAAGTGAAGACCATCCTCGGTCATTATCTCAGGTCGGATTAAATATACCTCGAGAAAAATGTCTTCACACACGGCCAACTGTATGTTTCCATATCAAGGGTCAAGAGTAAAGGTGGACTAAAGATTTTAATTCACTTTAAAGATCTGGGATTTCCCACCAACACCATTTAGAGTGGTCCTTGAAAATTTAGAAACATAGCCTTTCAATTTTTTTAATGTCTCTTAGTCATGCTAAGGTATTACAGATTTTATATTCTTTCTTATTCCATTATGAATTATATTATTTCATGAAAAATGACATGTATATTACATATACAGTTTCCATGTACAAAAATGTGATTTGTTATTGATGGAGTATATGGTCCTGAGCTCCAGGACCCACATACTCGGAAGAACAGAACACAAGACAACAGAGTGGCGCCCTCGTCGGCCAAGACGCCCCCGTCGGCCGAAAAGGGGCCAACTCAGATTACGGTCCTGGACCCAAGGAACTCGGGTGCCCTCGTCGGCCGTGCCCTCGTCGGCCACGCCCTCGTCGGCCACGAAGACCTCCCAGAAACGGATTCTATACTTACTCATTTGTACAGCCCATTAGAGGCTTTGTATTCGGCCCAATAGCGGTCCAGTTGTAAATGGGCCTCCCAAGCCCAAGGCTTGGGAGCCCAACCCTAATTTTCTCTATAAATACTCCCCTTGGGAGTAGTTATAGGGGTTACAAATTCATTCTATTGAAGCATATTATTGCATTTCTCTCTCTAGCTCTCACTTCTCTCTAGATATACTCTATCATTTGGTGCTCTCGTTGAGAGCTAGAACAATCAAGTTAGCACCCTTCGTCGCTACCAAGCACAACTAACCACTGATCATGGGGAGAACTAAGTCAAACCGCAACCTCTTCAGCAAAGTCATCCCGGAGGACCAAGAGCCCAGGGAGCACGATGAGGACGCCACGGCCGACCAGGTCGGCGGAGGGGACCTATTCCAGGAGGCCTTCAACCTCACGACGGACCTCCGCAACCAACTCAACGGCGGAGTCCCCGACGCCCGCCTCGGCTTGGAAAAGAAACGAGCTGAGAAAGCGGACCACGCCCCGGCCCAGCCTATGGCCGCGGCCTCTCCGTCCGTAGATCCTCAGGTCCAGGCCGCACTATCGGCTATCATCGCCAGCTTGGCTCAGAATCCCACCGTCCTCAGCGCACTCCTGCCAAGGACTGGGGGAAACGTCACTCCACCTCCTCATCCCCAACCGTTGGCCGTCCAGATAGGCAACAATGAGGGGGTTGTGGCCCAGGACACGGCATCGTCCCACTCCCACCCTGCTTCCCCTCTTCGGCCCGGGCAGACCCCAGCGCGTGGAAAAGCCTCTTCCTTCAATAGGCTGGGTGACACGCGCCGTCGTCCGGTTTCGGAGAGGATGGCGGGACGGATTGGTGATCCACGTCCTGGTTCGCCGAGGGAGAGTTTGGGGTCTGTGTCCCGGACAGCGGACCAGCCCCGCCCAGACAAGGGCAAGGGGAAGTTGCACGAGGATGACGTGCGTCACCAGATCAACGCGGCTCACAACGAGCGCTTGAGGAACCAGCCGGGTGCCGCCGCGGCCGACAGAGACCCCCGGGACGAGGTCATCGCCCAGCTGGAAAGGAGGTTGGCTCAGATGGAGGCCAAGCAGTCGGCCAACATCCCTACGGCCGGCGCCTCCAACGACCCCGACCTCAACGCGCTCATTAACAAAGTCAGCGCCCTGGAGAGGGAGCTGGCCGAAGGGCGGGGTGACCCCATCATCCAGGTCAGGACTAGGACCCCTTTCACCAACAGGGTCCTCTCAGCCCCCATCCCTGAGAAGTACAGGGGGAACGCCATCAAGTCCTACGATGGCCGATCAGAACCCCAGGAGCACTTCACCCGCTATCAAAACAACATGCTGATGGTGAACGCATCCGACGAATACCTCTGCCGTTGGTTCCTCTCTACTCTCGAGGGGCCAGCGTACGAGTGGTTCAACGGACTGCCAGAGGGAAGCATTGACTCATGGCAAGATCTCGCCCAACGCTTCCTCACTCACTTTGCCGGGAGGAAGCGCGCCAAGAAGTATTTCACCCACCTCCTCTCCGTCAAACAGCAGCACGAGGAGTCCCTCCGGTCATTCATCGACCGGTGGACGAGGGAGACCGAGGAGGTCGAGGGGGCCGATGAGCGCACCCTCCTCGCCTTGTACCAGGGAGCCCTCCGCAGCTCCCCGTACGCCAGGAGCCTCATCACTGACCCCCCGAGGTCGTACACCAAGGCGCTCCAACGCGGAGGCTTGTATGCCGACGCCGACGAGCTCCACAATCACAAGAGAGAGGGGGGCCATCCCCCCAAGAAGACAAATCCTTCGCCGGCCTCGGGTCCATCCCCGGCCGGCCAGGGTGCCCAGGGCCGCCACGGCTCTGGTGGACAAAGTAAGAAAGACCGCCACTAGCGGCCGAGGCTGGAACGGCTGGGGGTAGCCCTCACCCACCCGGTCGGCACCATCCTCGATTATGCTGAGAAGCACGGCCTCATCGAGCAGGCTCCTCGGCCGGCCGAGGAGATCCTGGCCATCCAGCAGGGCGGCACGTACTGCCGGTTCCACAAGAACTCGTCGCACAACACCGACGATTGCATCACATTGAAGAAGGCCATCGAGCGCCTTATTCGCCAGGGGGAACTCTCCCAGTTTGTCAAAGGTGGCCCACGTAAAAACACTTGGGTAAACACCGGCAAACGTGGGGGCGAACCCTCTGTGAAGAAGCGCGAGATTGGTAGGCTCAGCGACGACGAGTACTTCGAGGAGCCTCCGCCGAAGAAGAATCACATCCACCTTATCGCAGGCGGGAACACTGGGGGGGACTCCGCCACTCAGAGAAAGAAATGGGCCCAATCCCTTTACATTGGAGAGGTGTCCCACGTTCCCCCCCAGCCGAAGAAGCAGCGAACAGAGGCGATCACCTTCACCGACAAGGATCTGCCTCCGGGTACGGAGTCACACCGGGACGCCCTCTTCATCCGATGTGAGATCGGTGACTCCATCATCCACCGTACTTACATCGATACGGGGAGCTCCGTCAACGTGATGTACCTAGACACCTTCAAGCAGCTGAAGCTGGACAGAGCTCTGCTGAAGCCAATCAAGACCCCGTTATCCGGCTTCACCGGGGACTCTATCGACGCCGAGGGCACGATAGTCCTCCCCGTGGAAGTCGGTGACGGCCCCCACCATGCCAAAATTGACATGGAGTTCATGGTGGTCAACCTCCAGTGCGCCCACAACCTGATCTTGGGCCGGCCGGCGCTGGAGGACTTGGAGGCCATCATCTCCATGAAGCACCTATGCTTGAAGTTCCCCACCAATGACGGCATCGGCTACGCCAGAGGAAATCAGAGGATAGCCAGAGCTTGCTACCTCAAGCTGACGAGGCCGGCCGAAAGGGAAGGACAGCGGATAGACACCATCACGGCCGCCGTCGCCATGGACGAGGAGAGGCCACATGCGGAGCCGGCCGAGGAGGTCGAGGAAATCCCTCTGGATACCTCCCGGCCGGAGCGGGTTCTCAGGGTCGGAAAGCAACTCCCCCAGGACCAGAGAGACGCCATCCTCCTCGTCCTACGGTCATACGCCGTTTTCTTCGCGTGGGGCCCGGACGATATGCCCGGCATCAGCCGCCAGGTGATCACTCACCGGCTGACCGTCGATTCGGCCTCCGCGCCCGTCAAACAGAAGCGGCGCTACTTGTCTGCTGACAGGCGGGACTTCGTCAAAGGGGAGGTCGCCATGCTCCTATCGATCAAACATATCAAAGAGGTGAAGTACCCAACATGGTTGGCCAACGTCGTCCTCGCACAGAAACCGCCGACGTTCAGAATGTGTGTTGACTACACTGACCTGAACAAGGCGTGCCCCATGGACCCGTTCCCTCTCCCCAACATTGATCAGTTGGTGGACGAGACGGCGGAGTGCGAGTTGATGTCGTTCCTCGACGCTTTCAGAGGGTACCACCAGATCTCCATGCACGAAGATGACGCCGAGAAGACGGCATTCATGACCCCAGAGGGAATATTTTGCTACCTCGTCATGGCCTTCGGACTCAAAAACTCCGGCGCCACCTATACTAGGATGGTGGCCAAAATCTTCAGAGCGGTCCTTGGCCGGACGATGGAGGCGTACGTCGACGACATGATCGTCAAGAGCAGGCAGACCACCTCCCACGCCGACGACCTCCGGGAAATCTTTGAAATCATGAAGGAGTTCAGGCTCCGCCTTAACCCCAAGAAGTGCGCCTTCGGCGTCCAAGGCGGCAAGTTCCTTGGCTACATGGTCAGCCGGAGAGGCATCGAGATAAACCCGGAGAAGACGCAGGCTATCATCAACATGGAGCCGCCCCGCAACGTCAAGGAGGTACAGCGACTGACGGGGTGCCTGGCGGCCTTAAACCGGTTCCTCTCCAGGTCAGCTGAGAGGGCACTCCCCTTCTTCCAGATCATGCGCAAGGCAACCAGCTTCAAGTGGACGACGGAGTGCCAGGAAGCATTCGACAAATTGAAAAGGTACCTGTCGTCCCCACCCGTACTCTCCAAGCCCAAAGCCGGCGAAACCCTCTTCCTGTACTTAGGGGTGAGCACGTCGGCCATCAGCTCTGTGCTCATCCGTGAGGACGAAGGGGTGCAGAAGGCCATCTTCTACATCAGCAAGACACTTAGGGAGGCCGAGCTCAGGTACTCCCCCATTGAGAAGACGGTGCTGGCCATCGTCCACACCGTGAAGAAGCTGGGGCACTATTTCCAAGCCCACACCGTCCATGTGCTGACCCAGCAGCCTCTCGGCGCGCTCATGAGGAGCCCCACTAGCTCCTCGAGGATGGTGAAATGGGCGATCTTCCTCAGCCAGTTTCAAATTGAGATCAAGCCAAGGCCATCTATCAAAGGGCAAGCCTTGGCCGACTTCGTCATCGAATGCACAGCAAGGGAGACGGCCGTCGCCAACCCCGGGCCAGAGCCGGACGACACGTGGACCCTGTTCACTGACGGCTCGTCGGCCGCGAAATCATGCGGCGGCGGCGTCGTCCTCATATCCCCTGAAGGATTCAGAGCCTACTATGCCATCCGCTTCAACTTCAGGGTATCCAACAACGAAGCCGAGTATGAGGCCCTCCTCAGCGGTCTCAGACTCGCCGCCGGCCTCAAGGCCAAGCACCTCAGAATCAAGTGCGACTCCAAACTGGTAGTGGGCCAGGTGGAGGGATCGTACGAAGCAAAGGAAGGCCGGATGAAGCAGTACAAACAAGCGGCGGAGGAA